GCACACTCACATCCTTACATACTTTCACACTCGCATATTTACATGCTTACTCATAAATGCTTACACACATGCTTACACATTTACTTATACTCAAATAAGAATGACTGTGCAAGTGTGTGTGAGTCTAAGTATGTACACATACATGTGTGTGAGCAGCCCTTCACAGGCTATTCCAAATCAAAGTAAACACAGTTCCTTACAGAAGTGGCTTCAAAGCTAGGGGATGATGATTCCCAAGCAGCCCTGTGAAATGCTGCTGCCAGGAAGCAAGCACATCTTTGGAGACAGTGGCAGGGTCACCTCAAAAGGAGCAATGAGTAAACCTAAAAGGACTCTCAATGGACAGATGTGGGCCAAAAAAAGCAACAAAAAGACTAATGACCGCAAAGGAAATAAACATGTGTGTATGTTTATATATATTTCTCAGTACAAAAAAACCTCAATGGATGTTTTGGAGATAAAGGCATGAGCTTATCATTTTTAAAACTGGCCTATAAAGGGAAACAAGCACATATCCTGCCTTGCTAAACATTTTAGAATAACCAAATGGTTGATCAAGGAAAATTCCTCTAAGAAAAACATTCAACTATCAATGGAAAAGGAGTTACTGAATGGAAAAAATCATTACTTTATAGTCCTCAAGAATGAATGCATCTAGACAATGATAATCTTTGTTAAAAGTTTTAAATGAAAGTGAGGGATAAATTTATAGTAAGACTAACATCTGAAACTATCAAGTAATCCTAATACACTAATAACGAGACAACCATATGTATGCTTTTCTCTGTGAGGCAATGGGAAATACCACAGCACCAAGTAAGAATTCTAACCCCCATCACAACCATCCAAAAAAGTGAACTTGGATCTAATCAAGGGGCTACATCTAACCAATCTTTTCAGGCAATGCAAGTGATAGGGGACTAAGTAGCATAAAGCCACAAAAAGTTTTGACATTCCACTTTCAACTAAGACAAATGGAAATCTCTCTATAATAAATGAATGGTACCAAAAGTAATAGGGAAATGTCTGATAGTACTTTTTCGGGTGTAATAATATAATTTGGGCTATATTTTTAAGTTCTTTTCATGAGAAAAAAATGAGTGTGAGGAAAATGCGATTTTCTTGAAATAAAGAGAAAGGGAGGGGAAACAAGATGAAACAAGATTTGCAAAATGTTGATAATTTCTGGAAGTAATGAAACCTCATTATTCTACTCTACTTTTATATATATTATGAAAATATTCCACAATAAAAATGTTAATGAAGAGACTAACCTAATGTCAATATTCCTTTCAATTCTAGAATTTTCTGCATCTATATTCAGTTTCCTAAAATATATTCACTACATGTTTGAGACGATATGCAGCATAGTACCAGAAATATTCCTTACAAATTATTACACTTAAAGAGCCCCAGTAATTAGAATGGCAAATGTATTATCAAGTAGAATAAACTAAAGATGACTGTATTTTTCTATGGAAAAGAAGCCAATAAATCTATTAAAAAAAAATAAAATAAAAGATCATGACCAGTTCTTATCTGTAGCTAGGAAGAGATAAAAGAAACCTAGAGTATATCATAAGGATAGCAAAATAGATTTTTTATTGGTTTCTTCTGTGTTTTAATATATATTTTATTTATATATATATTTTAAATATATATATTATATATATATTTTAAATATATATATTATATATATACACACATATACATATACACACCACCACTATACTTTTCTTATCATTCTTTTAATCATTTGTTTAATCCTTAAGCATTAACAGAGTGCCTGAAATACATACGCAACTTGGCTGGCTTGGCACTGTGGGATACAAAGGGAGTAACAAAGTAAGATTCTTATGCCTTTAAAATACTTACTGGATCTTCAACCTATGTTTATTATTCATGGGTATTAAAATGACTAGAGAAAAATTCATCAAACACCTGAAGTTTTTAATGAATGATTTAGTGAAAAACTATATATAAACACCCAACTGCATTATACAGAAAACTAGTCTCAAAAGCTCTGAGCCAAAGGTTCACCAGTGGCTCCACACAGTCCCCAAGTCCCCTCAAATCATGTGCAAGATGTTGCATGAATTTTTCTGGAGAGGATATCCTGGATTTCATTAATCTCATTGACCTAAACTGGTAACAATCACCAATAGAATGAAGCCAAGCTTTTTAGAAGAAACTCCTAAAAATATGAAAACACTGTACTGTATAATACCTGCTGAATTTCCATACATCTGCTTCTTTCACAAGATAAATTATTAAACTTACATAACATTTTTCCAGTGTTTGAGTGACATCTAGTGGTTAAACTGTCAAATCCAATTGCTCACAAAAGAACTGAAAAGTGCTTTAAGAAATAAAATTTAAAATGGCATCACGGGGCCTGGGGGTGTCACTCAGGGTACACACTTAACATGAGCACAGCTCTGGGTTCAATCCCCAGCATAAAAATAATAATCAAGACTGCATCACAAAGGAGCACCTGGCATGATTTCAACTTATGATGTAAACTCATTATCGAATAAGATTTCATTCACTATGTAATATGCTGAATTCAAAAGTTTACTAGATAAACAGAGTATTACTTTTTTTTAGTGAAATAATTATTTCTCCCAAGTCTGCATCCAAACACCAGTGAAAAGCCAGGAGGGAAACAGTGCAAGAATAAAATATACAGAACCTCAGAAACTAGTGCCTGGCCTCTCCTCTCAGCAGAGGCAACATCAGGAATACTGTGTTGTGAGAGGGACAGCAACAAGAATTGGAGAAATACTGAAACACTACGTACCCAGCATCCCAAGAGAAGGAAGCACAAGCCAAGAACTCTAGCTAACAGTACAAACCACTGTGCAGTTCAGCTCTCAGGCAGCAGCAAAAGCATGTACCAAGAGGATCAGGCCACAGGGGAGGAGATCCCATCACCCAGGGTATGGGCAGGTCCCAAGTTCCTGCAAAGGCCCTCTGTCCAGACCCTTGAGGATTCCTATCACAGCAGAACATATCTCCTAGCCACCTACAGAGGGTTCCAAGCACAAAGATGCCACAGGGGTTAAGGGCAGCATCACAATACAGCCTTGGCCTCTAGCCTGTCTTCCCCTAACTAAGCCACAAGGCAACTCTCCTCTCCATGTACCTTCCACAACACCCACCTGCTCACCTCTCCCCCAGGTTGTCTGCTCAAGGGGAGCTGCCCTTCTAGGGAGGAACCACCACAACCCACGGAATAGTTCTGAATATATGATCAGTCTTTCCCATACAATACCTACAGGTGTCTAAAACAATAGTCTATGAGATTCACTTGGGCCTGTTGCCCAATGCTGCTGTTCATTCATCACTCAATGCTATTCATTCATCACTGACTAGCACACTGAATGTGACACCCTTCACTCATTCTTCTGTTGATGGAATATGGATATGGATTATTTTAAATGTGGGGCTATTATAAATAATGCTGTCAGTATATATCTACTTGTGTCATTTGGCACATTGAGTTTTAAGGTAATGATGCTGGGTTACAGGTAGAAATGTTTTCAGCTTTAGGAGACACGACCAAGAAGTTTTCCAGAATGGCTACATTCATTCATACTCCCCCTAGAAGCATCTAAGAGCTCCTTCTATCCAGTACTACCACAACTATGTAGGATTGAGAGACTTTTTCATTTTTGCCCATCTGGTGACCATTTTTGACACTTCACTTTTCATTTGCATTTCCATGACAACACAGCATTTGGAATATTGAACATTAGAATTTATATTGGGCAGACTTCTTGGATATTAGAGTCTGCTTTCAGATATTATAGCAATTAGCAAATCTGTCACTCTTCTAGTATATCCAGGAAATAAGTATATGTGTAAGTACATGTAAGTATGCGTAGGTGACTAAGAACCTGATGCAAGTCACCATCACCTCTCACATTCTACACTAGTCTGAGTCTACCTTACCCTGTCCCTGAAATAGAGTGATCCTTTTAAAACATAAGCACAACAGTGTACTCCTCTGTTCTCAATCCTCCAGTGGCCTCCCATCTCATTTTGAATAAAATCCCAAGTTCTTATCACATCTTACAACAAATCTACATCATCTAGTTCCTGACACTTCATCTTCTACCAATCGTCTCATTAGCCCTATATTCACCCCTCCTTCCTTGAAACAGGCAAACCATACTTCTTTTACCTCTAGCCTTTTGCAAATGCTATTCACCCTGTCTCAAACACTCTTCTGCCAGATAGTTCACTTCATTTCTTCAATTCCTTCAATTCAGGCCTCTGCTTGGATGTTTCCATCACTACAGAAAGTTCATTTGGACAGTACTTAGACAAATAATTCCTCTAAATGCTCCAATACCACACCATCAGCTTCTGTTCTACCAAAGCCCCCCTCCTTACCCCGAGTTTTTGACCCTAAAAGCTTTGGTATTTTTTTATGCATTTTGACTCTTGACTCTTTCCCATTCCAAGGAATAAAAATCCATTACCAATTGACCATACTTCACATTAACAGGATAGGTAGAAAGCCATTTTCAGTATTAAAAGTCACTCATAAGTAGTACAATAGTAGTATTCACTTCACAGAACTTAAAATTATTAACTAAATAAGAAAAAATTCCCAGTATGAGTACTTGAAAGAAATGACTGATACTAGAAATATCCTTAGTGCATGAATCATCATTAAATACTGGAATCAGTTATCAAGAAATAACTGACAACTGGTGAAGATGAAAACAAAATCAAGGTGAAAAGCCAAAAGAATTTCAATTTGAATTACACAGAATGATTCAAAAAGGCCTTGTATTCTGCCACACCATCTTCAGTAACAGACAACTGTTGTAAATGAGCTTAATTCTATCCAGATCCTCATTTTACAATTGCCACAATTCCACAAAGAAAAATTAAGTGAAGGTCAACATAAAGCTGTATGTTCTAAACCACGGGGAAAAAAAAACAATCTTTTTTGTCATTCATAACATGTCAGTAATGAAAGAAATTACCTCAGTAATGGGTGTATTTTCCTGGAGCTCAGTTGTGTGCGAAGCCAGCAAACCAATTACCCGAGCAACTTTGGCCCGTCTGTAAATGGAGAGAATACAAACTTTGAAAAGAAGAGTTGGGACCAAGGAAGTCAATACTAGCTGTCACATGCTTTAGATATAAGAATATGAAATAAAAATTCAGTGTAATAGGACAGGCCTATAATCCACACGTACAATGCCCAAAGAAACCATCCCTCATGTATAAGGAGAAACTTGGAACAACCATGTCCTTTGTATTGCTATTATGTTGACAAAATTTAAACAAGCTATGGTTTAATGATGAAACGGAAAATGGATTTTTGAAAAGGCCCTAACCTGAGACAAAAGAGAAATACTAATTAACCCTTTTATGTGAGTACACAGGCATTTGGCTTAAGGTCTCTATTCCGCTTTTACTGAGCTAGTGAGTTTCTATATAGGTGGTAAATAATATGAGCACCGTTAAAAAGATTATTTGTATTTTAATTAATCCTATTTAGTTTTAATGATGCTTTTCTTTGGCATCTAGCAAAAAATGAAGTTTATAAATAATTAAACTTCAGACCTTGGTGTGGTTTGAAATACAGGAAATTAAGACTTTTTTCACCAGAAAAGAAATTGGGAAGTTGATGAGAACCACATTTAGTGACACCTGCCTGTTTCCTGGCTCATCAGCATGCACTAATTTTCACAGTTCCTTAAACATTCCCAGGACCCATGCTACTCGGAAGTAGCATAGAGAAAATGTGCAGTGACACTTCTGACAGATAATTCTTATGGAATTCAATTCTCTTAACATATGCAGATAAAAGTCCTAGCCATTTAATGATTACCATCCCACCTCTGAATATAAAGACTGTACTTTAAAAGTGATCATTTTGAAAAAGATTTAGTAGGATATTATACCAACTTACAAAATAAAGAAGCTTCCAGTCACCAGTTTGTCATTGTTATGCCTTGGATCCTAAATGTCTCCCAAATATCCATTAGTTAAAAGGCTTGGTCCCTAGCCAGTGACACTACTTTTAAGTTTTTTGAATGAGGTATTTGTCACAGCAACAGAAAGCTGACAAACAAGGCCATTGAGTAGCTGCAATTGCAACCAAGTCACTTGCTTTATTTCCACGTGTGCAATTCAAACAGGTAGCTGCATGGGAACAAATCTTTACTCCTCACACTTCAGATAGAGCCCTAATATCCAGAATATATAAAGAACTCAGAAAATTAGACAATAAGATAACAAATAACCCAATCAACAAATGGGCCAAGGACTTGAATAGACACTTCTCAGAGGAGGA